TATCACGAGAAAGTAGCAAATTGTAATATTACTGAATCACTAAAAAAGTGCTTCGAAAGACCGCTACGAAACCTGGGACATCAATCTACAATATTATATAAGAACTGAACCAATCATAGTAGACTCATTTTCGCTCATAATGACACTAATGTCAGTAATATTACTAACGTATTTAAAAGAAATTATCGTCCTTTTGGCTTCACCATACATTCCGGTGAAATAGTACGTCACTACATGTTGGAAACATACACTTCTGATACCGTGCGTGAGTTCTATTAGTAAACCTTCTACTATGAAGTGTGACAGGGAGAAAACAATTGCGCATGCCCAAATGCCGTTGTAAATGAATAGATTATTTTCATGTGTACTTGTTATCGTTATATATACTGCACGTTACTTCTACAATGTAATTTCTTAGCAATAATTGTGTAAACAATTTATTTATAAAGGTACAAAGGGCCAACATAAATTAAAAGCTTAAGTATTAAGTAAGTTAAGTAAGCTTTTTTTTCTTTGTATGGCCAGGTCTTGAGTCTTCCAGATGATATCTTCTTGTACCTACATCACTTTATAAAAAAAACGGCACTGATGGTACTACTTTGATTTTTGAGTTTTTTTGCTAACTAACGATTGCAGTAACGCCCCTCACATCTTGATAATTTAAATTTTTGAGTGGCACTGTAACCGTTATGGACCGGTATATCGATTACCACCTGTTGTAAAAAAAATGTTCTGATCAGGCTCTGAGCAACCATTATGCTGCTGTTTTGAAGATAGTAGCTGGGATATACGACTTGGTTCAAACACAGCAATAAATATGTGATAATTTATACTAACTCCCTACCTGTCTACGCTACTTCTCTACATCGAGGTCAACTGCTCCGCTCGTATATATTATCGAGATTATGCTTAGTTAGACAAATAATGCAATGGACTTACTAATTAAAAATCTTGTTCACTGGTTTTGTTTAAGCATACACATTATTGTCATAAAGCTTCCATAAATAAATACACAGTGCTATTCAAAGTCCAAGTCATATAATCTTCATTTCATGGGTAAGCAAATTACACTTGAAATTGTCGTACTGATTAAACGATTAAACTCAATTGCTCATTCGTAAGGCAGATTCCCCTGAAAAGAATGAGTAAGAAACTCTAGGGTTGCTCGTTGTAAATACACATTCGAGTACATTTATCATGACAATATTTAATTTAAACATCGAGAATACCTCAAAGAGCTAATCGGGTCACTACCGCGCATTTTTGTCATCCAAGTACGCAGAAGTAATCTGTTGTATAATTAACGTTTACTATTAAGTTTTTGTTTCACAATAGTTTTAAACCTCATAAATGGCAAATTTTTCATATCAATCGGAATCTTATTATACGAGTACAAGCGTGTACATCGCCCCTTACATGAATTTGAGACTTTATGAAGACGACTGTTAAGAACTGTTACTTTGTTTTTTATTCCTCTTATCTTAGACTATATTTTTTTCCATCCTCTAAGCCTCGTATTAATGTTATGTCTGTCACTATTTTTCATAAAAAATAATATTTTTTTTAAGTTATATAACATTTGCATAAATGTATTGTGACGTTAGTGTTAGAATGTTAATCTCTTTAAACTTATCAAAGATTATTAATAAAACCTAGTACATTCATAACACCTTTTATTTCATATTAATTGCTTGGAGTAAAGGAAAGAAATACTTATTAATTCTTTTTCATAGTACTGTAGATTTTCTCCTTTATATATATGTACACATTCGGACACAATTCGAGCCACCACGCTTTTCAGCATTAAGTGCCATAAGCTTAAACAATGTTTGATTGATCAAAAACTTTTACGCAAATTTGAAACTAATATACTAAACGTCATTTCCATAAGTCCTTGCTGGGAATTTGAATTTGCAAAATCGGGGGAAAATTTTTCTTCGATAATAACACTATTATTATATTCTAGCCCTTTACGACAAAAATGCGAGGTGGCTCGAATTATGTGTGCGGGAGTATATGTATATTAAAGAAATATGTAATCACTTGCTCGACTTAAAATGCTAGTTTTAATTAGTAGATATTTCTATTTACAGTGGCTTACAAAATTTGCTAAGTCAGATTAGAGACATTAGGCTTGTTTTTGTTGTGACTCGTTAGCGTTATTAATGAGAGCATACATATTATATTTTTCACAAATTGCAAAAGCGATACTGCCCTCGTTAACATAATCGACATTTTTAGCGAAATTGTTTATTTACATATCTGGAATCAACGAAACAAGATCCACAACCCCCTTTAATCAGTTTTTTAATACCTTATTTAGTGTCCGTTTAATTGTAAAGAGTTGATACTAGACAATAATTCAATTTTTCCCGTATTAATACGTACCACTATGCTTGGTTCGAGCGACTAGGATACTAGTTTTATTTCAGAATTTATTTTTTTACGAAATTAACGGGCATTTCAAAAATGTGTATTGTATACTATACATGTTTTATTTAGGCTAGGTTGATATAAAAAAAATCATTGGTACCTGTATGTAAGGTACGAGTACCTATTGAATACAGCGGTTTTCTTGTAAAATTTCGAGGTAAGTTTGTGTTTTTTTTCTAAGTGAAAATTATTAGGAATCATGTTTTCACACCGTATTTTCCATATTGATTGATTCAACACTTTCACTTTTATGCGGAATCAACCAAAACCATTTGAGGTTGTATCGAATCTTACGCAAAATTGTCATTTTTTATGAGACAATAAAGGAGGAAACTGAAACTAAATAATATACTTAAAAAAATCGCTTATAGATCTCATTTTGCTGATATGTATGTTATTAACTCAACTTCGCTAAAAATGTCGATTACGTTAGTTATGGCAAATACTCCACCAACTCTCCAACTCCATCTTCTTGGAGTTCCACCTTCTAAAGAAATATTTTCAAGTAACGTGAGTAAGAAATACGAAACATGATTTCTTTTTGATTAACGGACATTAATTCCATTTGAAATTACTTGGAAAGCAGCCAGCGTTTCGAAACCTGTTAATGATAACTTGTGAAGATCCGCCGTATCTGCATATAGTTGCTCTAAATTCATAGGAAAATGCGAGAAAAATTTAATGTGTTTAGGTGTGCTGTAGGCTGTATGAATAATGATCAGGCGATAACGATGAATGAGCAAGAAAAGACAATTTTTGTTGAATTTATGATAAATATACATTTATCATAAATTCAATATATGTATATATATATTATAATTATTTTTTTTAAATATATACATATTTAAAAAAATTGCAAGACTAAACAATGTTGAAATATTGAAACACATTTTATAAATGACCGTAAACTGTGTACTCGTTTAATTAAACTGTACTTAAAGTTAGATTTTGAATAGAAGAGTAAGGCTGTGAGAGTGAAGAGTGGCAGTGCCCCGTGTGATTTAAAGTTCAGAATGGAACTGCAACTGCTAACAGGCGCACGACTTGTTCGTCCCTTCAATCGGTGTCATAAAAAAAGAAAGAAAAAGATTTGTCGCGACTGTCGTTGCGGTTAGCTACAGGTATAATTGCTATACAGAACTTTTAATCCCTGAGAGATGACCGTATCCTAATTGCTCTGCGTTTAACATCGGAAGCCGCCACTTAACCTAATTGCTCGCAACAGAGTATTGTACTCTCTTCCAGAATTAATTCTCGATACGACAAGATTAATTGACGTATGCCGAGAAATGAATTTTACTAATCCGTTTTAGAAAAGTGTTGAAGACGATTATATAGCCATCCGTCGACGACCTCACTGAATAGACGTGTGTTATCCAAAACCAACTTTAGAGGAAGTTTGATTAATTCTGCACTTTATGGACTTATTTAGAAAAAAATATGACAAAAGCGATGGAAATACCTGTGTTATTACGTCATAAATGGAATATTAAATTTTTTAGAGGTTTATTTTTTATTTTTGCGTAATTTATGTATATATTTTCCCTACAAAAAAAGTGATATTTCTTTTTTTCGTGAAAAAAAATAGGAGGCATATAGATATTTTAAGAAGATTACAGAACATTACAGGAATTTATATTTTGTTCACATATTTACACCTCTTTAGAAATCCGTTAGCGAGTCTGCCACTGTGTAATCTGAACTTAATACATTTAACGATATTCAACAACAAAATTGTGTCGGTCCAAAGATATAAACTTTCTTGTTACTTGCAAAAAATCTAACTTAAACTAAGCCGGTATTGTATTTTTAAACTCTATATAACAATTTGATGCAGTTGTATAAACTTACACGAAAGCAGAGTCGTAGCTAGAGCTGAATTTATGATGCAGCAGAGGTTTCAACTAAGGCGGAAGTTAATGTTGCCAATTTGGTCGAATGAATTTGATTTTGTACTTATTTAATTTTACTTGCTCTCTCTCAATAATGGAAATATGATTATCGCGAGCCCTGATATCGACATAGTGGTTTTCAATATACGTATACCTACTAAGTATACTCACTGCATTTTAAAATACCACGTCAAATGGCTTTGGTTGATTCCGTATAACAGTTCTCAATGTGTGTGTCTGTTGAATCTATATATGGTGTGAAAACACGATTCCTAAAAATTATTATGATAGAAACAAGAAAACCGCTGTATTCAATAGGTACTTTCCATATACCAATGATTTTTTTAATACCACCTGAACTAAATAGACACACGGATAATATGTATGTGTTATACATTTTTCAAATGGTTTTTATTTCGTTGTAAAAAAATAAAGCCAAAGCCTCTGCCGCTGCTTGGGTCGGCAAAATGGACCGTATTAATACGGGAAAAATTTGAATTCAAGCTGAGGTAGAAAACTCTTAACGCGACCTCTCCTTCTGACGACGATCCTGCACGAAGTGGCAAGCACATAGATTTATCTATGGACAAGCATCATATAGGACAGTTACAGGCAGTCGCAAAGCTTTTGTATCAAACTACCTATGAAGTTAATTTATTTTATATTTGTCTCTAGGTATCCTTACTGCCGTGAACTGCATCAGTGTGCGATGGACGATGCGGATCCAAGATATCTTCACCACCTCCAAGCTACTAGCCTTAATCGTCATCATCATCTCTGGCATATATTACATATGTATTGGTAAGAATATCTATACATATTATGAAATCGTAAGGAACCTGAGTTTGTACTTCTAATATTTTGAAGTAAAATTCAATGCTACTAAAGACATGCCATTAAACCTAAAACACAGGTTTATGCGTGTAGTCACAGTTGGGAATGAAACTGTTTTCATTTTTCTAAATCCCATATATTTGTGATGAAGTTGTTGTTCGTAAAGGGCACGAAACGTTGGTTTGTTTGAAATGACAAATATAAATGATTTAGATATGAAAAAAAAATATTTTCAACAGTTTTAAGAGTTTTTATCTATTTGTTTATGAGCTTATCTTCACAATGGTTGACCAATTAGTACGTGATTTTGAGATAAGCTTGCATTAATATTTAGTGTTGTTTCACGTTTAATTAAAGATAGGACAATTTGCGTCTCGCGCGTGCTCGACATGACGCGTGCGCAAGTCAGTCAAACGGATGTATGTAGATACGTGAAAATGGCATACTTTAACTATTAGTCATCAGTAGATTTATATAAAAGTCCACGACGCAGTACCTAACCTAACCCAATATACGTATATTTCAATCACAGTAACGTTTTTTATGATAAAAATAAATTTAAATTTATGAGGTTATAATAATAATTTTAATTATAATTTAGTAGCAGTAGAGCACCTTGTGAAAGAGTTCGTCCAGGGAATTACTGCCACCCTACCTATTTCTGCTACCAAGTCGAGCAACTCGACGTCAAGGCGCCTATTTTGCGTGTGGTACCAAGTAGTAATGGTAACATTACTGTGTTCCAGTTTTGAAGGGTTAAGGGTGCTGGTGAAATAACAGGCACGTGGGACTTGTCAACTTATGTCTCGGTATCGGACGCGATGGCAGTGCCCCTCAGATCTTTGCGATTTAAAGCTCTAAGTGGCACTGCAACCGTTATGGACAGGAATGTAGCTTACCATCAGGTGCACGTCCCGTCACTTGACATTTAAAAGAAAAAGAAAAAAATATCACAAAGATCTAACCCTAATAAAAATTTCTTCGAACCCAAACCGAAGATCAGCAACAAGCACATAGAAAAATTCGTAAGGTTCTGGCTTGTTCCGTGGTTCAGTTGAGAGAGCGTCAGCCACGGTATGCAGTAGGCGCTGGTTTGAATCCAGTCGGATCGAAGGAGTTTTTCTTAGTGTTAATAATTATAACAAACTAGTGAAGTAATTTCACAACAAAAGAATTGAAGATTATGATAGTAAGTAAAACATCCTGATATTCGATAAACTTAATATTATAATTGTGAGGTCGTTTGAACAACAGTAACTTAAAAAATCGTGTATATTTCCCATTCTCGAAATTGAGAAAAAAATATCGAAATATCAAAATCCGGAGGTAATAGAGTAACTATTATATTATACATATATTTTAAAATAAATATGGTTCTATCTGAAATCTTTGTAGCAAAAGTTTTATTATTACAATTGACGGTGAATCATATTTAAATTGTGCCTGGAATCGAATTGCGTATCGCGCTTGTTTCATATCTTTTAACCTCTAAGGAGGTTTCCTTTGCTAAATTCACCAGCGCAAACTCATGGGGATCAATTAGTTCAATTTAATGTACAAATTCCTGAAGTTCTTACTTACTCACACCGCTGGCTCAGCGACCCGAAGTGGGTCTTGGCCTCCGATATGAGTCAGAGCTAGCGCGCCGGGTTGTGCAGGTCTTTCTCCCCTTCGTCACTTCATCGATATTTCGGCCGACCAATGCCAGCCACAGGGCACTGAAAAGGGCCTACGTGAGACATTGCTAAAGTTCTGCTAAATTTTAACTCTATCCATCAATAGAGACAACTTTTACTACGAGAACCCCACTGAAATAACGGAAAAAACAGCTGTTCCATATATTTGGGTCGATTAGGTACTAAATATTGTGTTATTTACATCGTATCACCGGGATATTTACGTCGTATCACAGTAACCAAGTAACCAAGTCAACTTAATATACAACGAGGTTTCTGTTTAACTTGCACAAACAAAGTTTTATTTATACACGTCATGTTCGCAAGAATAAACAACGTCGTTTCCTAACATATATGTTAATGTAAATAAATTGAATTGAAAATGGTCTATTAGGCTCACGATAGAATGAATAAAAGTATATTTATCAGAGTTCGAGGTATGATTACTCCTACTTCAAGTACTTATGTCCTGATAATTGGCGATGATTGAATTTCTTTGTTCGTAGTTGTTTATTGACCCTTGGTTCAGTTCATATTATAATTTACACTATTAAGATTTTTCAATTGGTATGTTTACTCTTCGTCGTACAGACAATAATGAGGTTATGCTATGCTTTTTTGGTGCCATTTTAAATTCTCGATTGGATTCGGGCTGTATCACGCAGGACGTAGGGAGGTCGACTCTAAAAAAAAACTATTAAACAATTTATAAAATGAAATGTGTACGTCTCCTACAACATATTTCGCCAAAACAATAACACTTTAATAATATGTATGGAGTTCTTAGGTTTTCGTTTTTGTTACAAATAGGAAATAGAACTATATTTTTCGGATCTAAAATTGTGTATATTTGTGATATTAAGTTTATTGAATATTAATAACGATGTTTTATTACCATGATATGCAATTTGTTTTTTAAATTACTCCACTAGTTTGTTAAAATTATTAATACAAAAATCGAACACTAAGAAAAATTCTGTCGATCCGGCTTGATACCATGCTTAATTGCGTTTTTTTTTTAAATAAAACAACGTTTCGGGTTCTTTAGTGGTTCCATGATCACGACTGGCTGTAAATAACAAAACATACACGAATTTAGATCGATAAAAAGTAATTTCATTTCCAGCACCTTAACATAATATAAATTGTTTTCATTATCAGGGAAATTAGTGTTATTACTATAAATCTCGAAAGCTTTCCTCTAATATTCACTTCAATATATCCTACATTTATATGTACATACCTATTCGCTATCTGTACATTTTATCTTCCTTATTGAGCTAAGGTCGGAGTTGGCACATTCGGAGTGTATGCTTAGAACAACTGATTGTAAATTATGTAACAATAGTCCAATGACTAAAATTTTGTTGATTCTTGTATAGATAAATAGATATAATAGGGGTACATATAACAGGGGGAGTTCTGGTAAGAATAACATCGCTTCTTTAACTGACTTCAAAAAAAGGAGGAGGTTCTCAATTCGACTGAATTTTTTATGTGTTTATGCGATTGGCATTTGTAAATCGATTTTACCGTTTTTTTTGTTGGAAAGGGGGCACCTCAGTAGTGGTCTTAAATTCTTTGAAGAAAATATTCTTCCTCTGAAGGTGGCAAATTAGGGGATGAATTCGGTTTATTGGATTTCACCCACTTTCCGTTAAGCGATTTCAATAAAACTTGGCAAATAGATGCAATTCCATTAAGTTTTGAGGAGAGTTTTAATATAAAAAGTTATAATTATTTCTTTAAGATATTGTACAGTGGGTCAAAGCATGTCTATACCCATCATTACTTATATTGTACGTATTGAAAATAAATTCGTTACGCTTACGCAATAAATAGCAGACTTTTTTTAATTTGTGCGTGTATGTATTATTATCACATTTTAGACATTTTTATGACTACATTATGTATACAGTGTTATTTTTAAAATACTAACAACCTTGCAGGACTAGATTACTGACATCATAAACAACAACTTTTGACAAAGCGTGCTCGAACTCTCGAAAATCGAACTCTCATAATTTTTTCTGAGTATTTGATCTTGTATTAATAGTTATAACAAACTAGTGGAGTAATTTCACATAAAAATAATTGAATATCAATTCAATAAAAATTTAAATCATCTCTAGCCGGGTCTGGTAATAAGTAAAGGTATCTAACCGGGTGACGAAATATCATAGATTTCTCATAAATGGCGCTACGGCTAAAAAGTCGTTGAAAAACCAAATGCTAAGACACAATGCAAGCACATAGAAAAATTCGTGAGGTTCGCTGGTTCGTTCCGTTCGGTTTCGTTCGTTGGTATAGCGTCTGGCACGGTGTGCTAGAAGACGTCTGTTCGAATCCGGCCGGATCGAAGGAATTTTGTCTGAGTATTCGATCTTTGTATTAATAATAATAATAAACTATTGATAATCATAAAATATCAATTTATTAAAAATTTAAAAACGTATTAATATTTAGCAAATATATACTTTTAAGTTTTTTGTACTATCTAACACTTTTTAGATGTATAGGTATTTGATAGTAATCACCATTTAGAGCGATCTATTTAAATATTTTTATTTTTGTACGGAAGTAAAGTCCGACGAATTGATAAAAGTCATGGAACAAAAGTTGATGTTTATGATGTTAGTAATATAGTCCTGCAAGGTTAGTATTTTACAAATAACCTCGTATATAAATATTGTATATCTCAATAGGTAATTTTCATGAGTTTTATGTAATCGTAACATAACTCGTATTAATATGAAAAAACACATTTCAATTTCATATTGAAGCGTCTGAATTTTTAATAAAGAAAGAAGGGAGAATAAAAACGTACTACGTACTATGGCGAACCTGGATGAGATTGGTACGGGATCGTGGGGAGTGGCACAGAAACTTGGAGGCCTATACCCAGCAGTGGGTGAAGTCAGGCTCTATATGATGATGATGATGACGTACTATGGTGTGCAGTCTCATACTTCGTTTACACAGAGACGTCCTTATAATGTATAGGTACTTATAGACTTTTGCTTTTTGGTTACAATGTCATCTTCTTATAGTATCGATGGCATACGTACACTATACCATTGTGGTCCAGAACTCGGACATGCTGACCGCGTCACTAGTAGCCGCCATTAAATCCTCAACCGTGCAGGTGTTAGTGCACGATATGAGACGAGCCAAAGTTTGAATCGCACCTCATAAACAATCCAGGCTAGAATCCTCACCTGAACAAATTGTCCTTGCTCCTTGTGAAAGAGTTCGTCCAGGGAAGTACTGCCACCTTACCTATTTCTGCCGCCAATTAGTAATGTGAGCATTACTGTGTTCCGGTTTTGACGGGTGAGGGTGCTGGTGAAACTACAGGCACATGGGACTTGTCAACTTATGTGTCAGGCGGTGCCCCACAATCTTTGTGATTTAAAGCTCTAAGTGGCACTGCAACTTATAAGGATATACATATGGCTTACCACCAGGCGATTTTATTCATCCCGTCACTTAGTAATAAAAAATACCAAATTCCGAAGTCTTTTTAAAGACTTCCAGATCGGCCATGGCAATTCGCACCGAGGAGAAATACTCTTAAGAGGCGGGACAAAGATAGATGGTACTCTTACGCGCCAAAGATTCCACCTCGCCTGAATTGGCTTAATGATGGTCAGAGGATCGATACATTTGTCGAAAATGTTCTGTCTGACTTTAACTGCTTCCGTGGCCGAATGGTTACTACGCTGCGCTGCCACTGAGGTTCCGGGTTCGATTCCCGGAGAAATGTTTTGTATGGTCTACATTTATTCCTCTACTGAGTTTGGGCGTAATTTGTGATTGTCTATGGGTGTGTCCATGACACCCGCGATACAGGGTACTTTAGTGCGGGGCTATGAGGGAGTGCGTTATTATTATGTTATACGATGTCTCGTGTTATCTATTGATCATGTTAATCCTCCAGTTTTGATATCTTTAAAGTTGTGCATTTAAGTCATAATTATGTTATAATAATGGGCAATGTATCTTCCGTAGGTCACACGGAAAACTTCGAAAATTCATTCGAAGGATCATATAACGTCGGAGATGTCGCTATAGCCTTCTACTCGGGCTTATTTGCTTTCGGTGGCTGGAATTACCTCAATTTTGTCACTGAAGAGTTGCAGGATCCTTACAAGTGAGTATACTTATATTAATATTCAACCTATATACTGGTATTTCATTAGTGGATTCTTCTTCTTGAGAAGAAAAACAAAGATGGTGTTTCAGTAGGTACCATAGGACCATTTATTTCTATTTACGACAGGGTTCGAAGTGATAATTATCATTCATAATTATCGTTAAATCTATCATGATAATTATCTTGATATGGATATGTCGTGTCATGTGTTTGTATCAGAGACGTATCTAAATGTGTCAAATGTCAATCTAAAAAAGTCGCAAACTCAAACCGTTTGGAACACCAAAGATTTCTTACTGTTTATCATATTAGTCAAAAATTAAAGAGACAAAATTATGAATCAGCATGGATAATTATCGGACAATTATCAGATAATTATTGGATAATTATCAGACAATTATCTATCTTAATAATTTCAAACCCTGATCTCAGAGCATCACAGCTGTGTTATGGTACGAAAGCTGGGAGAGCTAACGCATAATATAAAACGAGTACAGGCTCAGGGCACTTATATAAAATCTTTATATAAGTTAAAGAAAAACTGCCGTGATTATAGAGTTTTCGCGATTGTTACACATAGGAAATGAAACTATTTTTCCGGATTTAAATCGTGTGTATTTGTTTTTTCAAACAAACCCACATTTCGGGCCCTTTACAAGTCCCGTGGTCACGGAGTCAATCCAACAAATAGTTTCATTTCCATATAGAGGTTTCTTACAAAAAGTAAGAAATGTAAATATGTCTTTAATTTTACATTTTGAGTTATGAACGCTACTTATTACAAAAAGATGAAATTTAACAATATGTGCAAAAAATAATAAAGTATACCTACGCAAAATCGCGATAGCTTTATCCACCTTTTCTTGTTTAACAAGCATTATTACTTGTAAGCACGTACTGTGACGATAAAATGCCGACATTATCAGTTTCCCCAAGAATTTATCTCCGTAATCAAGTCAATAGTAAAATAGCATAAGAAATAACATTAACATTATATAACATAATTATATATAATTATCCACGTACTTTTGAGGTCAGTTTTTTAGTACTCTGTACTGAGATTATTATCTCATCAAAATCCAGCAATCCGCTAAACGTCAGTTTATTATCGCTAATTATATAATAAATCCAATTATAGTGGATACGGTAGATCGGTCATTCTTATGGTTGTATGTTATCTCTGTAAAGCTCCCTAAAATAATTCCTAATAAAATTAGACCATTCGTTCTCTCATTAAAGTTGAATTTTTTTTATAAGAGTTCATCCCTCAATTATATTGCATAATAATTCGTGTATCCACAAACAAAAATTCTAATAGCGATATATCGCATGTAAGTAGATATTATAGATTACCAAATAATATAGACTTAAAAAATAACTACTCAAAATATAAGAAATATATGTATGACTCATTTAATTAAGATGAGGTTAGAATAGCTCGACATCCATGGCGATGGACATGTCCGGCTTTTTAACATTCTGTCCGGATTTGGTCTGGATTTTTCGTGTAAGGTAACAATTTTCGGAATAAAAAATAAAACATCGACTTTACAATTCTGTAGTAAAACTCAATTTATAACCAAAATGTTGTCGCCCGGATGCTTGTTCTGGTTGCCATGTCAGAGAGAGAGAGAGAGAGAGAGAGAGAGAGAGAGAGATTTAATTTGTTACTAAACATTCCGAACTTTCTTGCAAATTTCAGGCTTTTTGTTCAGACTACTTATAATAGGGGTTAAAGTATGAAATTGCCGATTTGTACTGAAAATCTAAATTGTTTCTTTTTTAAATTTTTAACAAATTTATTTAATCAAAATAGTTGCCATTATTATCTATACATTGCTGCCATCTAATGGGAAGGTTATTAATGCCTTTGCGATAGAACTCCGACGATCTAGACTGCACAAACTGTGTGAAAGCATTTTGTACTGCCTCCTGGGAAGAAAACTTCTTGTCACGTAGATAATTGTCCAAATCACGAAAAAAATGGTAGTCCGTTGGAGCAAGGTCTGGTGAATACGGAGGATGACGAATGGTTTCTAACTGCAGTTCCTGAAGGGTCAAAATGGTGTCTCGTGCTGTGTGAGGTCTCGCGTTGTCGTGGAGCAATAATGGTGAAGATCGATTCATGAGTCGGGGCTGTTTTACTGCTAGTTTTGTCAACATGGTTCGGAGTTCGGCACAATAGACATCTGCCGTTATTGCTTGACCAGATCGGAGAAAACTATAGTGAATAACACCATGCTGAGACCACCAAACAGTTACCATTACCTTTTTATTGGTAAGTTTTGCTTTAGGACACTGTTGTGGCATTTGACCTGGGGTCAGCCATTGCATTTTTCTTTTATTTATTTTTATTTATTTATTTATTTATTTATTTATTAAGGATTGCCAACAAAGTTTACAACTTAACGTATACAAAACAATAAATACTTATTAATTAACATATAGTTGCAACTTCAATTATAGGCAACCACAGCATGCACTTACATGTATATTTAAATGTACAAAAAGAAAAATGTCTACCAATAAAATGAAATTAAAATTAATAATAATAATAATAATAATAATAACAATTTAAATCCAATAATAACAATAATAAATTAATTAAACCTAAGCTAAAGCTACAAAATTGTTCTTTCCTTAAATTTATATAATGTATCACAAAATATGTCAACAGTTTCATCTTCACCGGACAGTCGATTATATAAACTAGATAGGCGGGGGACTGGCGAATGCTTTCCTACATTCGTTCTACACAAACGGACATGAAATAAAGGACGCGGCTGTCGAGGCGGACGTGGGGGTACTCGCAAACCAAATTTATTGAGAATAGACGGACAGTCTATCATGCCGTTCATAATTTTATGTAAGAAACATAAGCCTAAAGTATTTCTCCTACCATTCAAAGTTTGCATGCCAAAGTGCTCAAGTCGGGCACTGTAACAGTTTACGTCATGAGGCGGCCTGAAGCGGTACGCCAGGTGTCGTAGAAACCTTCTTTGGACTCTTTCAATTCTCTCAACATGGACTCGGTATGTTGGGGACCACACAACGCTACAGTACTCAAGCTTACTTCTGACATAGGCATTAAATAGTAATAAGGTAGTGGAAACCTTCCTGAACTCCTTTCCATTTCTAAAAATAAATCCTAGTGATTTGTTAGCAGCGGCCAGCATACTGTCAATGTGAATAGAAAATTTAAGCTTGGAGTCCACCACTACACCCAAGTCTCGTATCTTAGAAACTTCTTTAAGAGTTTCACCTGAGATATTGTACTGGGTACTGAGAGGTTTACGTTTTAATGTGAACTTAATATGGAAGCATTTACACGAATTCAGATACATTTTATTAATGTGACACCAATCAATGAGTCTATCAATATCAGCCTGCAACAAATCAGCATCATTGAGACTTTTAATAACACGCATTATTTTAAGATCATCAGCAAACAAATAGCAAATCGAGTTCTTAAACAATCTTTCAATGTCATTAATGAATATAATGAAGAACAATGGCCCAAGGTTTGAACCTTGCGGCACTCCAGAGCATGAAATAAAAGGATCTGAACTATAACCATCAATTACAACTCTAGAACACCTGTTATTTAAATATGATTGACACCACTGAAGTAGGGAGTCCCTAATCCCGAAGTGAGCTAATTTGTTTATCAATATACGATGATTAACTTTATCGAAAGCTTTGGAAAAATCGGTATATATTGCATCTACTTGTCCTGAAGTATCGACTGCCAATGCTACATCATCAATGTACTGGGATAGATTTGTGTCCGTAGATCGCTTCTTAATAAATCCGTGCTGATTCGGTGATAGTTTATTCTTGACATGCCTAAACATATGACTATATACTATCGACTCAAAGACTTTTGCTACGGTGGACAATATAGAAATAGGCCTATAATTCGTAACCAAGTCCTTTTTTCCATTTTTGTGAATTGGCACAATTCTAGCACGCTTCCAAGTGTCAGGAAATATTCCCGTAGTAACAGACTTGTTAAAAATTATGGTCAATGGGACTGCTAGTTGTTCAGCACAATTTGCAAAAAAGACTGGCGGAAAGTTATCAGGACCTGAACCTTTACTTAAATCAAGATGCTTGAGCTTATATTCCACACAGTCAGATTCAATCACTAAATCCGGAATCGCATCCATCATGCCCACCTCATCCAAATCAACATCACCACCAGTATCCAGTTCGTACACGGAAGAAAAGTGAGTTGCAAACAGGTTACAGATCTCACCTCCTTCATATCCTGTAGTGTTATTTAGAGACATAGATGGCGGATAATTGGAACCGTTCTTACGCTTATTTTTAATATGTGTCCAGAAAAACTTTGGATTGCTGAGTATTAACGTTTCTATTGAATTAATGTAATTTCTGTAACACTCCCGCATTAGGGCATCGCAGTCTTCGCGCAAATAATCAAATTCTATCTTGTCGAGCCGATTCCTGTATTTTTTGAATTTAACATGATACTTGTATTTAAGCTTTAGTAAGTTTATCAAAGCTGGCGAAAACCAGACTGGATATTTATTAAATTTAGATTTGCAAGATAATGGTATACATTCTTTAACAATTCTATCCAAATGCTCGTAAAATATTTTAACCATATCATTCACATCAACACACCGCTCATATAAATCATTCCAGTCAATTTTACCCAGTTGCAGATTGATAGCATCATAGTCAGCCTTGTGAAAGTTCGGTTTAGGTTCTGTATTTGAATTGCGAGGTTTATTAGGAATTGTAGTGATTTCAATGTCTATGTCCAAAGGGGGATGGTGTTTGTCAATATTTCGCAGTGGTCTAGTACATTCATAAATCTTAATGTCTGGCATGCTGCTTAAAACAAGGTCAAGAATGCGATTGCCGCCGTTTGAGACATGGTTAAGCTGAACAAGATTATTTAAAGACATGAAATCTATGAAACTCCCCCTCAAAGAACAATTTTCATAACCAGTTGGTGAACTGTGGCCCCGATCAACATCAACTTTCCATATTATTCCTCCCAAATTAAAGTCACCCACAATAATTGTCTCACCATCACTCTCACAAGCACCGCACGACTTTACCAGGTAGTTGTCCAAAATAGATTGTGATACCGGAGGAGGCAGGTAAACAGCACAAATATTTAACACTCTTGATTTATTTAATATAATTTGAGTCCAAACATCTTCGCAATCACTCTCCCACTCATTCATTCGTCGCGATAAATACTTTTTTAAAACAGCGATTAGAACCCCTCCTCCCCTCTCTTTAGAACTGCACATAGGTGAGCTTTCCCTGTCCCGCCTATACACATCATACCTGTCATCAAATATTTCGGCGTCAAAAAAACTGTTGTTTAGCCAAGTTTCTGTGAAAATAATAATATCGTAGTTATTTCGCAATATTTCCTCACGAACCTGTACGTTATTCAATCTAAGGCCTCTAACGTTTTGATAGTAACATATTAAATTGTATTTAGTTAGTATCATAT